TGAAACCATTTGTGAAGATCATATTTATGTCTCAAAAATATGATCTGGAAATTTCTTATTTGCCGAATGAATTTCTAATATTGACCAAACACTGCAACGTGGTTGTCATTATACCTTTTTTTTTACAGTATGTAGCTTTGAAACGGATATAACGTACTAATACTTTCACAATTCATAAACAAAATTATTTAATGTTTTTTTGTTTTTCTTGACACTATATGGTGGTATAAGAATGTTTGGCTTGTTTTTATTAATTCCTGAAAAAATATGGAGGGTTTTTGACTATCTTTAGATCTGTGCCTGCTTACAATTGTACAACATTAAATATTAGTTATTAATTTCTCAAAAATGTAAAAAATCAATAAATGTACACTTTATTTAATACTTAAGTAACCAGAGTGTTGGTAGTAGGTGCTACCAGCTGGTAGCCTTCCCCCTCTAATCAACAATTCAAAATTAGTCACAAAGGCTTTAGTAGCTTTGCAGTAGCAAAGACAGGATGGGTAAATGTAGTGGCTATTGGAATCAAACCCGAATCCCTAAAATTGCAAGCGACTCCACCCGTTATGTGACTGTGCTTAATAACCAAACACAATGACAATATGATTACTTGGACAGTTGGAATGATTGAAAACAGTAATTTTGTTTAATTAATTATTTTCCTGAAATTAATTAATTTAATTAATTAGTTTGTGCAACACTAAGTAATGTAATCACTGCTCAGGATAATTAATTAAATTCCCCAGCTCTAGTTGGTGCTAGGCACCTCTACTGAAACATGTAGCTTGTGAAAAAAACTAAAAACATGGGAAAATATAAGCAGTTAATAAATTTTAAAGTTTATTGATGGACTAGAAAGATGTCACTCTGTTTGGCCTAAAATTTAATATATTATGTGAAGAAAATAAATTTCTAGTTGTCATAGTAAAGATGCTTCATTTTATCTTGAGAAAATAATGATCAGGATTTTTTTCACGTTTTTCTTTTGTACTGTTTCTATTTGTATTCATTACATATAAAACTAAAGTAAGGGTTAACTGTAAAACAAAGATTTTGAATGATCAGTAATAGTTAACTTCCAAAAGTCTGCATAAAATTTTTCTTTCTCTCCTTGCTCTTGAGCACCAGAGAGAAGTGATTCTATCTTCAGGTGTAGGTAGAAAATTGTTCATGTTGAATGGTTGAGGTGTAGGGTTTATACTGTCAGTCCTGCAAGCTTTAACAACATGAGTTGAAGCTAAAATCTTTTGTAACTCGTTTGTAACACAGGATAGAAAATTGTGCTTCTAGTTTTTCTTGAAATAATAAACATTAAAAGTGCAATAAAAATACATAAACGTACCAATGCTGAAAAGAAAGACATACTGTTTTCAAGAATTCTAACAACAGTGATTACATAGTTCATTCTAATGTTGAGGGATATACAACATCGGTAATTTTTTCCAAAATTGGATATGATATTAGATGGGGGGGGGGCAACTCCCCATGACCTTCATGATGTCATTCTGTATCACTGTGTCAAGTTTGATATGATTGATCAAGAAATGTGGAAACGTATAAGGAACACTCACATATTGATGTTCATTTATATATATGTTACCGTATTTTAAACCCCATACAAAAAATTAAAAAGCTTGAAAAATTAGGTG